ATAATTTCTTTACTAACGAATGAGACAGAGATGATGTTACCGAGTACCAAAATAGAAAAATGACTGCTAGATGAGCATTTGGGATAGGAATATGCTTTGATACCGGTTGATGTACATCATCATTCTAATAGCACAACTAAAAGATTATGTATGACATTCTACTCTTAACAATTGATTAAGAGGTTCAAGCACTTTGAGAAGTTGTGATCTTCCAAAGCTCTCACCTTTTCAGTGGTTTACAAATCGGATTCCCTCCCCTAGGGCCTTTCTCTCTTATTCATACTCCATTCTAACAGATTCCCCCCACAGTGACTCATACTATGATGAAGGAACAAATTGTCCCTACCGATCCACTACAAGGGTATCTTGTTATATTCCCAACATACCCTTTTTAACTAAAACTAACATTAGCTTAGTTATGACTTACCAGGTTAGCTACTACTACCACTACCATGGAAGTGTAACAAACCGCTTGTGTGTTGGCATGGGTACTTATGTTTTAATGCATGAATTAGGGGATTGCACAAATGAGTTGGAGATGTGTTGTGATAACAAGGTTGCTTTTCACATATCTAGATACAAACCTTTCATGAAGGTATAATGCACATTAAGGTAGACCGTCACTTTGTTCTTGAGAAGGTGATTGGGACTACTCATGAATCACCATCTATTAAGCTCGTTTAGGTACGCTAAAAAGATCAACTTTGTTGATATATTGACAAAGTTTCTTTAAGGATCACAAGTTACCACCATGTTACAAAGTTAGGTGTGATTGACATCTATGCTCCAACTTAAGGAATGTTAGAAGAGTTGATTATATGTTAGTCCATCCTTATCCTTATAAGTTGGTCCATCCTTATCCTTCTCACTTGGTTGGTGATGTTTGTATCTATCTATTAATATTTGTGCCCTTAAACATATTCTTTTATTTTATTTGATTTCGCTGAGTTTAATCAACAAGATGAGAAGGCTCATAACACCATCTTGTTGTCCTTGGCCGATGAACTGATTTACGAGGTTGCAAATGAGGAGACAGCCTCATCTTTATGGATGAAACTTGAAAGTCTCTACATGACAAAGTCTTTAACAAACAAGTTGTTGTTAAAGCAAAGGTTATTTTCGCTTCGAATGAAGGAGGGAATGCCATTGAAGGAACATCTTGACGAGTTAAACTCCATTCTTATGGATTTAAAGAATGTTGAGGTCAAGGTTGAAGATGAGGATGTTGCTCTCATTCTATTGGTCTCACTGCCACCCTCATACGAAAATTTTGTCAACTCATTTGTAGTTGGAAGGGACACAATTACTGTGGAAGAAGTTCGATTAAGTTTGCATTCACGAATTACGCCACAAAGCTTCCGGAAATGGAACTGAAAGCCAATCTGTTGGCTTGTCAATGGTAAATGAGGGTAGAGAAAAGAGTCAAGAGAGAGCTAAAGGCAAGTGGAAAGGAAGAAGTCAATCAAGATCTAAAAGTCGAGGGTCGAAAGCTAGCCCGAAAGATGTATGTCACAGGTGTGGTGATCTTGGACATTGGAAAAAATGAATGTCCGAAACGAAAAGAGAAGGCATCCGATGGTGTTGGTAAAGATGATTCAGGTTCAGAGGTTGATATGGTTCTTTCAATAGGTGACTCTAAAAGTCAGCAAGATGAGTGGATTCTTGACTCCAAGTGTTCGTTTCACATGACACCGAATAAGGCCTGCTTTGATACTTATGAAAAGGTTGCAACAGGAAGTGTTTTAATGGGGAACGACATTCCGTGTAATGTTGCTGGAATAGGTTCGGTAAGTGTCAAAATGCACGACGGGGTAGTGAGAACTTTGGCTGGTGTTCACCACGTACCTGATTTGAAAAAGAATTTGGTTTATGTGGGAGCTTTGGATTCCAATGGTTTCAAGTACAGTTGTCAAAAAGGAGTACTTCGGGTCTCTAAAGGTGCATTAGTGGTGATGAAAGGAGTCAAGAAAGGTGGCTTGTATGTGCTTGAAGGCAACACAATTGTTGGGTCAGCATCACCATCCTTTAATTCTGTTAAAAACTAGTCAGATTTGACACTCGTGGCATATGAGGCTGGGGCATGTTAGTGAGAAAGGCATGCTCATGCTCAGCAAGCAAGGACTTCTTAAAGGTCATAAAGTTGTTGAACTAGGCTTTTGTGAGCATTGTATCTTTGAAAAACAAAGAAGAGTGAATTTTTCAAAGGCTGTCCATAATACCAAGTCTACTTTGGACTATCTACATGCTGATTGTTGGGGTCCTTCACAGGTTCTGCCTCTTGGTGGTGGCCGTTATTTCCTCTCAATCGTTGACGATTACTCTAGGATGACTTGGGTGTTTACCATGAAATATAAGAGTGAGTCGTTTGAGAAGTTCAAAGAATGGAAGGTTCTCATTGTAATCAAGTTGGGAAGAAGATAAAAAGGTTGTGAACCGATAACGGTTTGGAATTTTGTTTTGATCGATTTTGTAAAGATGAAGGAATTACAAGGCACCGAACGGTTAGGCACACTTCACAGCAAAATGAAGTGGCCGAAAGGATGAATAGAACGTTGCTAGAAAGGGTCAGGTGTGTGCTGTCAAATGCAGGGTTGTCGAGAGGTTTTTGCGCTGAGACGTTAAACACAGCTTCTTACTTGGTAAATAGGTCTCCAGCAACAGCAATTGGTTGTAAAACCCCTATTGAAATGTGATCTGGAAAGCCAGTTGATTACACGAATTTACGGGTGTTTGGTTGTCCTTCATACTACCATGTGAGTGAAGGAAAGTTGGAACCAAGGTCAAAGAAGGGGTTGTTTATAAGATATGGTACTGGAGTAAAAGGGTATAATCTAGTCACTAGATGAAAGAAAGGTGATTCTCAGCCGTGATGTAATATTTGATGAAGGAAGTATGTTGCGTGACGTACGGTATTCGTCTACTTCATCTACTTCAAAAGACCAAGAGAGGATCGAGGATCTTCGAACAGGTAGAGCATGAGTTAAATGATTCTGATGAAGGTGAGAATGTTCCTGGACAACACAGTAACATGAGTGAAACAGGACTTGTTGAATCCGAAAGTCAGCACCAGCCCATGGCATAGTGTTAGACAAGCCTCGAAGACAGGTTGGTAGGCCGACTCGGTATGGTTTTGATGTCGTGGTGGCCTATGCGTTACAAGTTGCTGAAGAATTGAAGTTCTTTGAGCCATCTACTTGTAGAGAAGCAATCACAACAAAGGAGGCTGATGTGTGGATAGAAGCCATGAGTGACGAAATGGAGTCCCTTTACAAAAATAGGACTTGGGAATTGGTGAAATTATCTCAAGGCAGAAAAGTTGTGACCTGTAAGTGGATTTTTAAGCAGAAAGAAGTGCTGCCAAGAGCTGAAAATGTGAGATTTAAGGCTCGTTTGGTGGCTAGAGGTTATAGCCAAGAGCAAGGGGTTGATTATAATGAAATCTTCTCACCTGTGGTGCGTCATACATCCATTCGAGTGTTGTTGGCACTAGTAGCACAACAAAATTTGGAGTTGGAACTGTTGGATGTTAAAACAGCATTGCTGCATGGAGATCTTGAGGAAGAAATTTAAATGAGTCAACCGGAGGGATTTGTGGTTCAAGAAAAGGAAGATTATGTTTGTAAGCTCAAGAAATTGCTTTAAGGGTTGAAGCAATCTCGCAAGGCAGTGGTATAAGCGATTTGGCAGCTTTATGGTGAAACATGGTTTTAATCGAAGCCCTTATGATTGCTTGCATATATCATAAGAAAGTAGTTGATGGTTAACGTGTGTATTTGCTATTTTATGTGGATGATATGTTGGTAGCAGCTCGAGATATGGCTGACATTAAGAGGTTGAAACAACTCCTTAATTCTGAGTTTGATATGAAAGATTTGGGGGCTGCTCAAAAGATACTTGGGATGGAAATAGTTCAAGACAGATCTTGACATAAACTTTTCTTGTCACAGAAAAGTTACATTTTGGAGATACTCGGTTTGGTATGGCTTCGGCAAAGCCTTTGAGCACTCCATCATCTGCGAATTTCAGGTTATCGGTGGCTTTGGCTCCTCAAACAGAAGCTGAAGTGGAGTATATGAGCAGAGTTCCTTATACAAGTGCTGTGGGAAGTCTTATGTATGTTATGGTCTGTACTAGGCCTGACATAGCTCATGCCATTAGTGTCGTTTCGCACTATATGGCTTGTCCAGGAAAGGAACATTGGGTTGCTGTGAAGCGTAATTTTTGGTATCTTAAAGGTTTAGCTGATGTGGGTCTCATTTATGGAGGAAAAGGAGACAGTTTTGTTGCTGGGTATTCAGACTCAGATTATGCAGCTGACCTTGACAATCGAAGATCATTAACGGGTTATGTATTCACTGTTGGAGATGCCCTAATAAGCTGGAAAGCAACATTACAGCCATCAGTTGCTTTATCCTCAATAGAGGCTGAATATATGGCACTTACATAGGCTGCCAAGGAAGGGATTTGGCTGAAGGGTCTGCTTAGAGATCTTGGATTTCATCAAGATCAAGCTGTGATTTTTTGTGACAGTTTAAGTGCTATTTGTCTTGCGAAAGATCAGGTGCATCATGAAAGAACAAAGCACATAGACGTTAGTTGTCATTTCATACGATCAGAAAGAAGAACTAAAGTGAAGAAAGTGAAGACTGATGATAACCCAGCTGAGCACTTACTAAATTTGTTTCTTTAAACAAGTTCAGATATTGTTTAGATCTCCTAAACATTGATAACTGGAAGTAGAATCTTTGTAGAACTGAAGTCAAGGTGGAGATTTGTCGGGTGTGACTTTAATTCTGGAAGACAACTGGTAGACGGCTGGTTGCTAGTTCTGTTAGTCTGTTATTTCTTTCTTGTTTAGCCTATAAATAAATGGAGGCTAATCATTTGTAATCTCTGTTCAATTTTCATCTAATAAAATTCTCTGCCTCACGCATCCAAATTCACCAAGAGATTTCCAGTAATTTCTAACAGTATTAATATGTCAAAGAAGCCAAACTTACTTCAAAAACTTCCGTTGATTCTCCAAGGAGAAGTTCTTGAGGATCTCCCAAAACATGTCAATGACATAGTGCTCCTGTGGAGTTGAACAGCATGTATGTAGCTCAGTAGCAAAAACAAGGGACGTAGAAGCATTCGAGCCAGGTGAATATAAAAAAAAAGTGATATCTCCTTAAAAGTACTATAAAAGTCCAGTTCATAATGAGTGAGTCATATTGGACTTAAAACCAGATACTACCAAATCCAGTTGACTCAATAGGGTGACCACAGTGTGCCTGAAGGAACGAAGTTTCTAGAAGTCGAACCCCCATGAGCAGACTCTTGGCAAAATAATAGAAGAAAAGCTAGCTTCATCGGATCTCATACAACATATAACTTCCTGTACACTAGCAATTCAGAAAGAGTGGAAGGAACACTCATCTAGCTGTGAGGCACAAACCATATGCCACTTGATTTGTGCCTCAACCTTTCTTAGTACTTAAATTTGCTTGTTGAAATGTATGCCTATGTTTCAAATGATATAAAGGAAACATCAAATGTCAACTGAAACCAACCAGAAAACAAGACCATGCCGCTAAAGACTACATAGGGCAAGTCCAAAGAACTAAAGTTTTGGATTATAGATTTCAGATTAGACAAACATTCAACATACATGATGATAGCCACCAGCATAATTTGTGTTTGACCGAAGGTCATCGACATCGATACCGTCGACTGATCCTGATATCAGAAGCTGCACAAAAATAGGTGAAAAAAAACAGAGAAGTCAAGTAAGTGGAATGAATAATATGATAGAGGAAACAAACAAAAAAACGAACAAATAGATTTTATTAACTAAATGGAAACAAAGAGCAAGTGCCAGGAAACCAACTACCACATACGACAATGAGTCATGTAAAGATGATACTTCAAAATATAGAACAACAAAAAAGCAACACATGTTCGTTGTCAAAGAAGGAACAGTTAAAAGAGGTTCTTATTCGACCTTTAAGTATGTAGCCACCTAGCATAAATCAGGGTCATTATTATTGGAATATGAAGTAGAAGCTTTACTTGTCCATTTCATAACCTTAAGCTTCCTAAGTTGACTACAGGTGACTTCTAGGACAAAGTGAATAGATATGAGCTACTCAGCTACCAACATCTGTGTCCAATTGGTATGGAGTCTTTATATAGGCCATCCAGAGCACAATATATCCCACCCAGAGGTGGGGTCGGGGGAGTAAAATGTACACACAATACACCTGACCTCTACCCTAAAGAGTAGGGTGGCTGTTTCCGGGAAGAACCCCCGGCTAGTGAAAAGTGTGGAAGGGAGAAATACATATGTGCTGAAAATTGAAAAGCTAGATATGAGCAAATAATAGCAATATACAAAGAGAAAGAGAGAGACAGATATGCTAATTTTGAGAAACTAGATATGAGTAAGCAACAATAATATTCAAACAAGCTCCTTGTTGCAGTATCAATTATAACACTTCTTTCCTAAAATATAGATATTTAAAAGGTATAACTACAAAATTATACGAAGGAATAACATATTTGAACAAGAAGCTTGATGGTACACTCAAGAATCACAGACCTGAAGTTCATGCTCATTAAACATGTCAATCCAATCTTTCTGTATAAGCTGTTGAAATCCTCTTAAGAAATGCGAACTTTGTTGACGTATCTGAAAACAGATGATGCATAATATTACAAGTCCATGTAGCAGAAGAAGGAAACAGCATCGAATTTTTAGAAATAGGGAGAAAAGGCATAAAACCTGAGTATTCAGGCGGTGATTGGCAACAAGATGAATAAAGGTGATAACATTATCATTCACAACCCGTATATTCTTTCCACCTGGGATCAGCTCTTCTGCTGTTTGCTCCCCAAATTCATTATTAACAATAACAAAGTATAACTCTAACTCTGACAAGTCACCTTCATAACGCTGCAGATGAGATCCATAAAATTTTATAGAAGTAAGTTCACATACATAATCAATATTGGAAGTCACATGAAAAGGGAAAATTACTCTTTCAAGTAGAAGACAGGTCTGCATGCATTCCCCTACTTCCAAGTGGGTTATACAAAATTCATTTGGTTTGGTTTTATGAAAAGAGAAAAAAGTGCAGACTACCTGAATGTTGAAGCTGATCTCATTTTTTACACCAAAATCATAATTTTCCATTTAAAGCTAGACACATTTAAAAATTTAGTTCCATGACATGAAAAAATAACCACATAAACACCAAAAACAGGATGGAATAAATAAAATGTGGGGATTCTTATCAGCTACTGACACTGTGCTAATTGGCTTGGTGAAAAAGAGATCAGCAAGGGGAGAAGAAATTTCTCAAATCACTGATCTGTATTGCAGCAGCCATTTCGTTTCTTTTTCTTTGGGTCGATAGACCATAAGGGATAAGCTTTGCATTTAACAACAGCCAATTAGACCATAAGAATGGTTTAAGGATACAACGATACCAAGTATAATATATTGAATTCAACTACACCAATACATCAAACTACTTCTTCAATAGGTCAATGGCACAGCCTTGGAGTGCAATCTAATAAAGCTGAATCCTTTTCACTTCCGATCTTAGATGTAGGCAAAAACAATGTCCTACAAGAGCTTATATCTCTTTTCTCACATGACATTATCGTTTAGTTACAAACCATTTATTTCATTGAGTTATTACACAAATATGCAGGTTGAAAAGGAGAAACCAACAAACCTTTAGAAAGATAAGATGCCGATACAATTCTGGATCCAAGGAAGGCAAATCATTTAAATAGTTGTGCCTGAAGGAGATGCTAATTAGAATATGCATTATAATGCACATACAAAAAAAAAGGCATGACGTAAAGATGTTCAGATAAAATTTAGCACATGAACAAGTAAACAATTTCCAGAACCATATGAGCAGCTGATCACAGTGGCATATATGCAGGCACACATGCATGCATGTACTAAATAGCAGTCGATATAATTTGAATCCTGATAACAAGGTTTATTTATGAGGCTATATTTAACAGACCCCAAAATGTAATGAAATTTTTCTCTTTCTCAAGAAGGGCAGATATAATATTTTTCTTTAAAATTAATGAATTATTGAAACTAAATGATTCCACAAGGCTTAGAACAGGGGTATTCTGACTGCTTTAATATCACCGGTTAACATCATTTAGGTATGCATATTTCTTTTTCAAGAGACAATGCATGTGGGAAGAGTTGAACACTCCAAAGTAGTAGAGACTATACATGACCAAAAGTTATATTTCTAACATGTGCAAATTGTTACAAAATGTAATCATAGTAATTTACATCAACTACATATAAGCTCAAATTTGCAACCCCACTAAGCAACATGATAAAAAAGTGTGCAAAAGTGATGAGTTATCTCACTTGAAACTTCAACGACATCAAGAACTAAGGATATATTTCCATATGTAAAAACTAAAAAGAAGCTAAAATCTTCCGTGACAATGATAGAGAAACACCAAAACTTCATGCAAAAGGCATCCTAACATCCGACTATCTTTCAGAAAGATATCTGACATCATAGATATCCCAGTCAGCCTATAACTTAATTGTTTTCTTCTGTTAGTTCTATTCTACCCATCTATTTTTTTATCCATACGGAACAGAGAAATTAATAATTGAATGCTAGAAACTTGTGTACTCCATTAGCAGTGTATAACTAACCACCTTTGCTAAGTGGTTGTCCCAGATGAAACAATTAGGCCAGTTTGCATATGTATGAACGCTTAGATAGCAGTAGGACGAAAAATGTAGTTTAACATGACTAGATAAACACACCAAGGAAATAAGTAAAGGCTACCTTGGGGAACTTACTTTTGCTTTAGTTTGCTCAAGAAAAAAGTTGCAAATGGTATATCAACAAGAATCCCTTCGAACATAGCCTACAACATCAATAAGAATAGCAAGAATTCATCATAACTTTCCATAACAAATATAAGTTGATTGAAGTGCAACTGAATTACTTCAGTTCATATGGAATGATTTAAAAGTGAGGCACACAACAGATACGGTTACTACACTGTACTCGCAAAATGATACTCAATGTTATTACAGGCCAAGCTAAACCTACACTCCATTCAGGTCTAATTGCCATCAGAATAACCTGCTAACATCTTAGTTTGGTTAAATTCATTGAGCTCAGCTGGAGCACTAAATTGACTCTGAAGGTACAAATGTCAAATAAGATCCAAAGATATTTTCTGAAAGCTGGGCTAAGGCTTCACTTCTAGAAAAGAGCCTATGAACAGTACATGGTTTATTCCACATCGACCAATTATGTCATTCTGCATATCTGATCCAATAACACTTTTCTTCTTTCTCCCTTTGCTGCTAGGTGAATAAATTGTGCTTATTCATATAACAGGAGAATAATTATACACAGCAAATACAAACATCCAACCTAAATGAGATTTAAGAACTTATAAAATTGTCATTGGAAAGAACACCAAATACACAAAAGAAACCATCCAGAAGGACACCTATCCAATAATCAACAGTATAAGAAATCACCAAACCTCTAAAAAACTAATAGAAGACCCACAATATAACCAAAAACAGCATGAAGTCTCTCAACACAGCCACACAAATATGTTCTCATATGCAGTCAAATCATTGTGATGCAGATCAAATAAACACAAGAAAACCAAATATACAAAAAGAAGTCGTTCAGAAAGTCACCTATACAACAATCAACAGTACAATATATCACCAAATGTCTAAAAATCTAATAGAAGACACATAATATAACCAAAAAACAGCATGCAGTCTCTCAACACAGCCACACAAGCATCTTCTCTATGCAGTTAAAGCATTGTGGTGCAGACCAAAAATACAGAATTATGCAGCAAGACTCATGTTCTAAAAGAGGAAAGTAAGATGCTAAAAGTGCATAAGGTAAAATCAAAAGTACCATAACCCAAAATAAAAGCAGACAGTTTGTTATACGACATGCAACACTCTTGGATGAAGCTTAAAAGATCCAGTGATTATGTGAATAACTAATAGCATGTAATTACTAATGACAATGACCACTCAACAGATGTACATTGGAAAACTGAACTTTGCATCAGATGATGTGTATAATTGATGGCATGCAATTATTAATGATCCAAGGAGTAGTAGATAGCAGATAGTTTCATAAATACAACTCATACCTTTCCAAGAATAATTCCAAGAAAATGGAAAAACTGGAGATGTTGTTCGTGTATCATTCCTGATCCAGGATTAGGATAGAGGAGGTGGTCGATTGTCTCCTACGTATATCAAAAACAAAGATTAAACTTTACAGAGAATAGGTAAACACAAAGTGAATGTGTATGGACTAATTATATTCACATCACCCTCAAAGCAATTAATAAAAAATCAGGTGTTTTTCTATATCAAATTCAAATTATTGAGATTGCTGCTTTCCAGTGAAAATAATAGCGTATTAAGAAATTTTAAATATTGGGCAATGGAGATACTAAGACGTCTTATCGGCTAAGCACAATACCATAAAAGTAAAACCAAACCTCTGGCTCTGAGTTCAAATCAATCTCATAAACGATCATATATCACAAAAAGTAAGTTCCAGGATTTGATACTTGAGAGCATTGGTGTCAATCACAAATCAACCATGTTATAAAGATATTTAATTTATGCAAGGAAAAATAGTGCAAGTTTTATCGCTTTGCTTTCAGCATTAGGTTTGTCCACCCCGAGGCTTGTAATTAAGCAGCAATTTCAAAAACAAGTAACTATGGTTTTAGAGCATTAGTTTGCAGCATAACAATTGATAAAATGGATAAAATGAAAGAACAAAAGTTCATTCAAAATATTATTTGAGAAACGAGACCATGTTCTATAGCAGAAAAAAAGAGATTGCAAAACCTTAAAGAAACTATCCTTCTATAGCAGGAATAGAGCTTTTACAACCTTAAATAGTCCATACTGCATATCAAAAGCTGCTCGAGTGATATTCTCCATGAAGTCTTTAAAAATCCCACCACCATCAATACCAGCCTCCTCCACTCCAAATTCATTGACAAAAGTAACCCGAATCTACATGAGAAGGCAAGAAAATAACTAGATGTCAATAACATAATAAAACAAAACCAATAATGTGATGGGCTTCACTACCAGTTTCAAAGCATATGCGTATACAAGACTCTACCACTCCACGAAGATCCTCTTCTGGTAATGTGCTTAACTGATTAAAAGCATCTTCCAGTATATGGTCTCGCCTTATCTTAAAACTGCTTCGGTTAAAAAGAGAATGAGACCCAGGCCTTTCCTTGATCGCAGCAAGCTGTGACTGTAGAGTTTAATACAACTGTAAATTAGAAACTAAAACTGCAAAAACAGCATGAATAGAATGATTCTCTAGCCTTTGAATTATTTAATGTATGTAATTATTCACACTCCTAGAATGGATATACGATTTAGAAGGATTGATGATGTAAGAAATGGGAATATCTAAGGGTTCGGGTGACATCTATTCAAAAAGAAAATTTAAGAACATTTCTTCTGAGATCTGGAATGGAGGTCTGAAACCAGTGACTTGCATCAAGAGAAGAGTGTTAGTACAGATAGGTCTAGGTCAAGCATAGCAAAGGTAGAAGTCAGATTTCAGTTATCATAATTGTTAGACAACAGACTTTCAATTTTCAAAGACTCCCCTGACCCACCCATTAGTAGTTTCAACATTTTTGGCCTAGAGACATCACACTCCATATAATTAGTTATTAGGTAATAGGTATCATTGTTGGCTACACATTAGTAGTTTGGAATAACAACTTCAGCTTGCTTGAGTCATGAGTATAACAATCAAAATGTACACCAGGGTTAAATTTATGTAATATGCTTTGACACCTGCAAACATATAAATGAATTGGAAAATTGAAATGAAGTTATAACTCACAGTGAATAATTTAACTCTGCTTGTAAATGGCACCAAGAAAGGAGCTTGTTTTAGTATGTCATATGCCCTTGTGTTTTCAATCATAGCCTGTAGAGGAATGTATCCTTTAGACCAAATATTCAGTCTTATAATAATCAATAGGTGAAGCAAGTAAATAGTATTACCTGAGAAATGAAGTGATCATTGACACCATCAGCATGGAAGTCGCTTGGGTGTGCAAACTGCCTTCTATTATTCCAATCTTGCAACTGCAATTGTAGATTTACGCAAATCACAAATCAAAATGTGGACAATGTCCTTGTCAACCGATGTCAAACTACAATATGCAATGCATAGTCATACCTGGGAAAGTAGTTCAGATGCCACAACACTAACCCTATACTGAACAAATTCTACACGGTGCTTCTTTAAGAAAAGAGTGTTTGTAGTAAATTTCATTGGTGCCACAGGGTTTAACCAAAGAATCTGCCACAAAGCCTGAAGAAGCAAACAAGCATAATTACTTGCATGGACGATAGTTGCCAAACTTGAATTTTGTAGACAGAATTACAATAAACCCAGTATAACATGATTTCTTATTGGAAATCCATTAACCTATGGTCATTTAATCAACTTTGTCATCAGGAATACTTGATAACTACTAGATATGAAAAGAAAGAAACAATATACAGATGTAAAATGGCTTATTAACCAAACATTTCTATGTTTTATCCTTGAGAAGTTACATGGTAGTCCGTAGTCCTTCTAATTGTGAAACAGTTTGAGCTAGAATAAACTATCTACCATTCCATCTGCTGCCAGTTGATGTTTAGGTTTCTTCTCAGGCTAGGGAATGTTCGCAGATTGGCCAACTAATATCAGTATGATCCTTTCGGTTTCAACATTACATTAGAATACTGTATATGGGTACTTCCAACTTGCACATGCTAAGATTCTGTATAAGAGCTTGTGTATCATGGTTCATCTGAACCGAATACTTTTTTTTTGGAAACGGACTCATACACACTCCTCACCTTTAATGAGGTCAGGGGTTAATTTGGGTTACTGGATACCATAGGGCCAATGGCCCTTTGGTAACTGAACTGAATACTGGCAGCCTTCCGTTGGTACATAATACTCTCAATTGGCTTAATACTTCAAATTGTAGAATAGGAACTAAAATTTAGAACCTACGACTTCAATGGTTATATGGAATGGTAGATCATACGGTAACAGAGAGTACCTGTCTCAGGATAACAATTAATAATCTGATGTCATTGAGTGACAACGGCTTTTCTTGCTCATAGAACTCCTCATTGTCAACAATCATAAGCATGTGCCTGATAAGTGTGCAATACATTATTTTCCGCTTGAATTCTTAGACTAACATACACAACTTAAAGATCAAAAGAGAAGATGCACACTTGTACACAGGACAGAAAACTGCCAAAGGCAGTAGCCAACCAAATGCATCGCTTGGCAGGTACTGTGATACAGCAGACAAGGAGGACCAATTTTGTTTCTCATGGCATTGCTTCATGAAATTCCAGAGTACAGATACCAACTCTGTTCTATAAGCTAGAACTGTCATGATACGCTCAAGGGGTAAAATGGTGAAAGTCACGTGAAGAAAAGAACACGCTGCAGCAACAGCTGCCGCTTCGTTGTCATTACATTTATCTTTGCATGAATCAGCATCAAGTGAAGAGCCTCCAAACAGAACATTTGTCTGCTTGGCAAGTAAAAAGAGTTAAGGTCTGAAACAGAAATTGTTGGACGCATAAATGTACTGGTATGAAATGTCAAAATAGCATACCAGCTGTAAAAGAAAGCGTGGATCTATTGCATTTGAAATCTGCTTTTCCAACTCCTTACTAAGAGGTGCAACAGCTGGTTCATCATCAGTAATCATATCGTCATCACCCAATACTGAATCTGCAGTACATTAACATTTTTGAAACAAGAAACACATTTAAAGGCTGATTCAATAATCATGTGTCACAAATGGTGCATAGATAAAATGAACTTGAAAAAAGCAGAAACCAAGTAATAGAAGACAATTCCAGTAATATTTGGAGAACATACTTTCTTCTCTACTTCCTGTATTTGATGTTTGTATAGGAGGAAGTACCTCCAGCAATAATGTTGCAACAGTAGCAAAGTCTATGGCCTGATCAAGGAAAGAGAAAAAGTGGAAAGCATTATACTTTTACATAATAATATTAACATATGTTCAGCACATTAATAAGCAATCAAAATCAACAGTGACACTCGTGTCCTTTTTTATTCCCTACGCTATTCCGCCCTTGTTTGTTTACTCCATCGATATACAAATATATATATATATACAAGATAGAACTACTGAGAAGTCCACACTGAAAACCTATTAAGTTGATCATATGAAGCTTAGCATGTGAAGTCACTTGCATTTTCTAATATCTATTTACTCGACATGGTTTTAATAAAGGAACTTATTGCTTTAAATGAGTCCAAAACTGATCATATCTTATTACTTGCAAGATCATAATAGGGCATCGAGCACATAGAACACACCTCTAGGTAAGGTTAAATGATCCAGACCAACACCATGAAATGGGAATGACTAATGCTAAAAAGGGTTGGATCCCCTTCAATCTCATTTTGAAATCCCTATCTGCTAGCTTATAAGAAAAATTTATATACACAAACACATATACCAAGACAAGAATATTCAAAAATCATGTGGAAACTTGTGCATGCTCTATTGTTTCCATATCCTTCATGTGTTTCATTCACTTCGTCCATTCACCAGCATGCAATAGCAAATGTGAAACAATCAACAAAACTGAACACTATTCTATGCTGCAGCATTTGATCATAAAAAGAGTAAATGAAATGATCGGAATGGCAAAGAATTCTGAGACAAAATTTCATATGAAGTGCACTTACGCCTCAATCCAAACAATGACAAATTAGCATGACTTCACTTACTCCATCAATTTGAGAGGACTTTTATTTGATAAGCACAATTATGGACTTGTTTAAAATTTATTCAGGGGCTAGGGAAGAAAAAACCCACAGAATTATCTAAATGAAAAAAGCTCAGAAAACTAGTGGAAGCACCAATAAACAATTTGATGAAGTTGTAAAAAAATAGAATCTCTAACAATTGCATTGGTTTAATGTATTCTTTTTTGACATATAGATCAGATACACACACCTGCGAAATATATTTCATAAAGGAAGATGTTCAATTTGCGCACTCCCTACTAAAAATAAAAAACGCCACTATTATGCTCGGCAAAGGGAATATAAATTCAGGTTTGCTTCACTCTAGCCGCCTAAGCAGTATAATATTCTTAATAGTCATTACGCCCTCATTACAAGCAAAGAGAGAAATAGATGGCACTCTTGCAGTGAAAAGCAAGACTTCCTTACCATATCATATGAACATGCAGGCCGAGTCAAAGCAACTCCAACTGCTTCCAGTAAATTACCAAGAAGGCAAGCATAAGCAGGGAATTCAGCTGATATGTCAATAGGTAACACTTTTTCATAACTTTTTGTACATGTTGCCATCTTATTGAGATAATGCTGACACAGCCCCCGCGAAACATAAATCTGGACATAGAAACAATAATTGCAAAAATATTTCAAGATCAAATCAAATGAAGAGCTATTGCCGGAGAAAATGAAAGGATTTATGTTCCGTATAAAAATGCAAACACAAACTATTTGCTGCAACGAAATGTACAATAAGTGTAAGACTGAAAGAAGATTCAGCTTAAGGGCATTCTACTGAAACAAAGTTAAGATTGCAGAATTTTTAGGACAAAATTACCTCCTTTAGGTAAGGAAAAATCTGCCAGAAAAACGGAATTGTTAGAATTTGGGAGGCAAAACTCCATTGTAGGTCGATATCTTGACAAACACAATGTCCTTGACCGGTATGAGCAATAACTAGGGCAAGAACCCTCTCCATCAAAGATACTTTTCCGACACAGCCTTCACAGTTTAAACTTTCCTACAAAACAAAACCCACCAACATTTGACATAGGATTAGATTGATAAAATTAGCACATTAGCAAACATAGTACTGTTTACAATTATCCTGAATGTCTAACTAGAAATATATACCTCTCAACAAAAATATCATGTGCTTGTAGTAGACAAGGTCAAATTATAAAGCACAAGAGAAGTTCACTTAAGGTCTTGGTACTACAAAAAAATTAAAGATCCAACAGCCATTCATGTGTTATATGACACTTTAAAGGAATATTTCTTGCATGGCATCACCTTCTAACTATAATCTTTCTTGCAAGGCATCACCTTCTAATATCACAATGCACCGAGTTTCATTAACTTCTCCACATGGTCTGAGATAAATTATCCATCAAAGAAACTTATCTTAACATGATCCTTTTATTCAAATATAAAAGAGCACTTTGTGTGTTTGCCAAAAAGATCAATGACTCAAAAAATGTGTATCCTCCTGAGGGATGAATTGTTATAACTCACTGACACAAAAATATTTGCATTTGGGCTTCAGTTTATTCTCTCAGAATACTTTGGCAGCATTATTTACAAAAATGTAATGATCTACTCCCTTTCAGTAACAATACAAGAAAAAAAAGAGTTTTGACTGCATTCAGAATTAGAAAGAGCAAGTCCTCATCAAGCATGCCTTTAAGCTAACACCTAATAGATTTCAGGAACATATAGGGTGCAGGAAGAAATGTAAAGCCGGAAGGTTAGGGTTACATAGTTAGGCTAAGGATGTGACTGGTAAGGACTTGCAAAATCAATGTTGATTTCTCTTTGATTGGCATAGAGGCAGTGACATAAGCACTCTCATATAAACCCAACTAAACTGAGCATCATCCCTGCCATGGTTTTAAAAGGCATGGGAGGCACACGCTGCACACGCCTTGATGCTCGCCTCAAGGCGAGGCGTCCAAAAAAAGAATATGAGGTGGCGCCTCTAACAATTGGGTCATACGCCTTAGGTGTTAGAGGCGTGGGCAGAGGCAGTGAGGCGGTGGGCAGAATTGAGGAGGTCGACTCCATGTATTTGAATAATAAAAACTAGAAAATTGTAAGGCAGTCAAACATAAATAGTGTTGTTCAAACATAAATAGTGTTGTTCCTTAGTGTGCCATCTCTCCCACTATCACACAATCACAAACACATAGTCATATATATATATATATATAATATTTTTTTTTCTATGTTAGTGCTCTGTTCTTCCACTCAGTGCTGCAATTATTTTTTTGGAGAAGGCTTGCAAATTAGATATTGTACATGCTGCAATCGAATTTGTAACATATATATATATATATATATATACATATATATATCTTACCGAGGAGATTATTTTATGTATATCAATATATAAATATATATATATGTTCTTTGTTAGTATAGTTCGTATATAAATGTGTGTGTGTGTGATTTTGTATGTATATATTTTGTACCTGCTACATTTGGACTTGTAAACAGATGTTATATGTGTATATATGGTTGTATACAAATAAATATGTACACATATGTGTGTGTGTGTGTATAATATATATTTTCTTTGTTAGTAAACACTAAACGCATTGTTTTGTTGAGTTGAATATATTGCCTTTGAGTATATATTTAGTTGTATATATACATATATTTTGTATAAATATTGTATTATATATTCGGGGCTTACGCCTCGGACCGCCTCGAGGCTCGATTCCATTTTTGAAGACTTTGATCCCTGCTACTTCTATTTTTGCAACATGAATTCTGGATGATGATGTACAAGTGAACTCATAAGAAAAATATACAATATGCAACTTAGTTACTGAAAAATGATAATCACCAAATTTTACACAGCATATCTCTATGTTAATGAAAATCTCATGACAACTGAAATGCCTTTATTGTCAATAGTGTTAATATATTGATATCACATAAGCCTTGTGCAACCTTGCAACATTCAACTTATAACAGATATTTACAACTAAAGGAAATAAACACAAACTCATGCCCATTCTCAGATTAAATTTATTTCGCCAAAAGAGAACACTGTTTTTCTATTGTGTATATTCATATATAGTTTGAGAAGCACAACAATTGTATAATAGATAATAAGTACAATGATAAGCTTAAACTAAAAGAATATGCAGGTTGGAGAACATACCTTTCCTGTAATAACAATCTCCCGGAAAATCCTATATATGTTTTGTTGCATAAGATAGCTGACTATCTTACATGACCATGGAAGCTTAGGATCAATCAACAATGCTGCTGCTTTCAACAAGATAATTGTTGATGTACCGGAGTCCAAAGATGTGGATAACAGTTGATCCTTTAACTGATATCTGTTCAAAACAATACATAAGAAAGTCTTCGGCAGCAAGGATTTATCTGAAACTATACTTTACTCCATGGGAAAGAAGAGATCATTAACTTTGGCCATTTAGCCTCTCCCGTCTAAGAGCAGGACACATGCAACATGTGCAAAAATGTTCATATAAAAGAGCAACTACAGACCTTAATCATAAGGAAACTTCTATAATCGTAATAAAAGAAACCCTTCTATATGTGTTTATGATGAAAATATAGGCACTTACTTAAAACCACAATAGAACATCCACTTAGAAATGGTGAAAGAACTAGTCCATTAAAGAAAGAAGAGACATACCCCTATGAGGAGGCAATCAGAGCATCTACCAGGAGGTGAAGCAGAATTAGTTAGCTTTTTGATAGTGTTTCATTTTTTACAACAGAGTACGTCTGTTGTTTCACAGTAACTTGGTTAACGTGGTTCAGATCTTGTCTACTGCAACCATTGCTTTTTTTCTTGCAAATTAAAAACTGAACTGAAGTCCAAGGGAGGATACTGGCTGATGAAGTCATCCACATTATATTTAATCATTTTTTAGTGACTGGATCTTCAGTTGCTCTTTCATATAAAGTTTTAAACATGTATCTTCAAGTACCCTCTTCTAGAAGGGAAGGGTGTGATATAATGGTTCTATACTATTTTAGGCAAGCAGGTTGCGAAGAGCATAAACTAACATAAATACTTCATTAAACCACACTAGTTAAGATTAGCAACAAACCATATAACAGATTAAGTGATTTTCTAGTTAAAATTTATAGCTACCAAACTTGTCCATCATCCCTTTGGCTATCATATCATTATCAACTCATTAAACCAAGACAAACAAACAAGAAGCACAACTTACTACAATTAAGACATCATGTTTACATCCTCATAAACATGATGGCTCATCAAAATTTCGTAGAAAATTCAACACATATATTACATATTTTCCTTCATCCTAGTACCTATGAGCTGCTGGTTATCTCTTTGCAGAAAAGATCTGTTATGTTTATAGCCTGAAACGTATCATCTGTTTTCACTAGGTATGGCTAAAAAGGTACTCAACTAGCATAACAAAATCATCCAGTAACTAAGCTAAAGACCAAGCAAGGAAATATATTAATAAAATTATCACCAAATACACTTGATGAATGACCTCAATACTCTGTCAATAGCATTTGAAACATAATATACTGCATAAGATACACATGAAACAAACCTATTATGATGTACAGCTTGAATACAGGCATAAACAAGTTTCTTCACCCTGTAGTTCACCAGAGCATGCTTAGATGAATAATCTGGGCCACCAAAGAGGTTTAGAACATCCCCTGCCATACAAAAAAACAGCTGTGAGTACCTAAAAGATATTTTCCTAACTAAAAGCTGGAGGAATGAGTGCATATAGATGGACATCTAACAATGAAGATCTCCATCGGACAGATGAAAAACGCACCACTGTCTTTGGCAAATTGTGAAAGCAAACGGCATGCCTCCACAAGGGTGGAGAAGTCCGAAACGTTCTGTGGACTAAGAAAATATAGCAAGTCCCGAAGAAAATCTGAATCTGGTCCAAAGCATTGCCTGAATGTTGAGAAGAACTACAAAAGAGTTAGATGGCCACAGATTTCTACAAGGTAACTCCAAATAAACATAAACGGTATAAAATGGCACCTGTCTACTCTTTCACAGTGCTTGCCATAAGTGGTATAAAATTGCTCTCGCACATTACCACGCTCAGCTTTTACCACTTTTCTTCCTCTAAAGCATTTCTGCAGAAAGAGATTAGTCAAGTTCATAACATAGAATGCTGTTCAGCAAGTTTCTATATATTTGCTCCAAAAAGTAATGAGCACCAGCAAGTGAGAGGAAAAACAAAATGTCAATTCAAGCTGTTGTATTATTAACATTCTCAAACAGTTAGCATAAGAATTCATTAAAAGAAAATAGCTTCAGCAGCAATGTAACCAAATCCTACACCTGCACCACTCATGCTTGGACCTTTTGGAATGGTAATAATTAATGAAGAATTTTCTACAAGGAAGTATGCCCATGATTGTATAGTAAGGGTATATATTTATGCAAGTTACATGTGGGTAATCAAGTTGTGAAGGCAATATGGATCAAACACACAAGAGGATATGGCATTCCTGTACCTTTTCTTGCACAATAATTACCAATACCAACCTTTGCAGCAGGACCGATACTCGATAAATTGATTATTTGAGGGGCAAAAAGTGTGTAGCCAACAGTGAAAGCTTGGCTAAGTATAGCATTGCTTTGAGAGGAAAGAGTTAATCAAACATCTAAGACAACATAAAGATGCCATCATGTAATCCACTATTATGAGGTGAATTGTTTGCTTCAAATATCTTTTTCTGGTGAGTATTTATACTCTAATGTTTTCTATTTATTAGTCTTTGTTCTTCTTACCTTTTAGCTCATGCTCTTGCACAAGTCGAGGGCCTTCATGGAGACGCTCTATCCATTGGATGGAGGGCAGTGATACATCCTACCCCGACCCTACTTTCAAGTGGGATATATTAGGCTAGATTTGGTTTTGGGAATTTATATACTAATAACACAGAGAGGGTAAAGCAAAATAGTTGTCTGACGAAAGGCCCATCTCTCCTGGACACTCGCAATTGATACACCGGATGAATCTTCCATCAGACTAAGTACCACTCCATCATTCTAGAAACAACCGAAGAGATATTGTTGTTCATAATAGATGGGCCTGAAATTGATCACAACACAGTGACGTGGAGCTGATCCAAGAATTGGCGACCTCATTTCATGGATCAATGGGATGAAAGCAAACAGGCTGTAAAGAAGCCCAACTCAAAAAAGTCATAACTTTCAATCCACCTGGAGTTACGAGGCCATCAAGATATGCATGAAAAGCTCATGATCAGGCAGATCCTTTCTAAATGGCCTATGGCTGTTTGGTCCACGTTCCGGGGCCCAAACTTCTTCATCTAGGGATCCAAAGACTTTTTGTGTTATTTTCGATTTTTAATTTATTATGTTCGATAGTGAAATCAGCAGTTTCTGATTTTCACGCCTCTATTTAAAGTAGTATCAATCTCATTTTTGAAATTTTGGCCGGCCTGTCAAAATTAGTTTCGCCTATAAAATGTTGTTTTGAATCCTTGGAGGATCATGGAATAAATATTGAAGTTTTCTCTCATATTTGGTTTTATTTCACTTTCATTCTACGTCACACATAAACTACAACATGAAAAGAGAGAAGGGGTATAGTATAACAAGGACTCGCATTTCTCACATCCTTGTTATTTTAATCAGCATGAAAACTACAAGGCATAAGTGCCTCGGATCTTCCACCTTTTCCCAATTCTTAGATGCCATACTCCACAAGGAAGCAATGCCTAACTGTCGTCAAGATATTAAGGCTTGTCAAAGATCACAAGGACATGCCACAAATGCAAACAATAGGCAACAACTACACAATAAGAAAGTAAAAGCGACAAAAAAAAACAACCTCTTAGTGGCTACATCATGAAAACAAAATTCATCAGCCCACGTACTTGTCAAAAATAATGTTGCATGAGCACAAATTCTACATAAACAGGTAGTATTACACATAATTAGGGTGGGAGTGGCCCTAAAAATTTACATTAAAAAAACAAAGCACAATGGAGACAGGAGTAAAGGTCTTTGTCACAGCCAGAAAATAGAAATTATGCTTATTCAGCACTTCAAACCAAAATGAGCCCAAAAAATAAGAATGCAACTGGCAGATACAATATCAAAAGGCCAATCTAGTCTCAAGAACAGGAACCGCCCCTTCCTATCAAAAAAGTAGACTTCACAGGCTAATGTCATAAAACCAAACCAAACCAAACCAAAACAAACGAACCCAAGAAATCCCACATGGAGTAGGGTATGGGGAGGGTAAAACGTACACAAACATTTCCTCTACCCAATATAGAGATGTTTCCATGAACACCCCTGGATTGCAATAAAAAGTTATGCAAAAAACAACTAACATGTTAAACAAGAAAAAAGATTAAAACAAGAACTACCTTCAAACGAAGAGTGGCAAAACAATAGAACAAGTGTGCCAAAATAACCCCTCCTGGCTAAGCTCACCCAAATGCTACGTAACTATCCCCAAAGATCCCCTTAGCTATCCTAGGACTCTTATATCTAGTTGTCGGCTCTCTAACCTCCCCCAAACCACCCTTTACCTCCCCAACCCCCTCCCTCATCCACAAAAACACAAGTTCCCAAACAAAATCAACCACCCTAGTCCTATGTCTCCACAAACACCTACTTGAGTCATGTCTTCGAATATGTCTAAAGCCACCATGTCCAATCCCAGCTGCTCATACCAAGTCCTCCTCGGCTTGCCCCTCCACCCCCTCGATAGCTACAATCTTGAACCACCTTACCGGAGTCGACATCTGCCTCCTACAAATGTTCTCAAACCACCAAATCTTCCTCTCAACTTATATATGATAGGTGCAATTCCACTCAAAAGACCTCGTTCTTATGTTCTATGTGCATATACAATTATACAGCAAGCATAGTTTTGAGTGGAGCTTATTGTAAATGCACTGAAGTCATATACCGACTAATTCAATAAGCATTGTGTGATGTAATCTAAAAAAGAAGTCAATTAGTTATAAATTGCAAAGGATTGACTAAATACAGTACTCAATTAATCATTTAATTAGTCTATGGTCTTCCCATGTTGTTGGACTATCATAACAACTTACAAACAAAATGATCTACTACAATGGTAAGACCGTAAGACAACCCCGACTTGGCACTATAATCTTTGATCCAATCTTGTAATAATAGGATTTCTAGCTAAGAAATATTGGGTTCATCCATTTCTTTAAAAAAATAAACCTTTGAGGAAACATTAAGATGATGTTGGAAAAAAAGCTACAAAATTCAACCCAATTTATGATAATTAATTAGTTAATGGTAAAATAGCAACAAAACGGATTTGTTGACTCCTTTGTAATACCAAACACACAGACTCTAGTGTCATTGATTCCGAAGAATGCCGAAACACAAAGTACCGGGAGAAAACCCCTTTCAAATTAATATTCAAAAACTATCTTCCAATGACAACTAATACTAGCAATATATAGAAGACCTTACCTCTAAATAAGAAAACTGCCTAACTAGGTAAGTATACCACGTAAAAAAGAAAAAGGAAAAAGGAAAAAGATATTAATGGAGTTCTAAGACAATACATCTACTTGAGATCCTACTCCTTACTGTGATGCTATGGTTGTTACATTGCTTCAGTTAACATGTTCAATAATCATATGCTAAAACAAAGGAAAAAACATTGGATTATCAAATTATCTAGTGAGCCATGAAAAAGGTTCAACAAAAGACAAACAAATTGATTGTCTAGTTTATGCCAAGCAATACACGAAGCAACTTCGGGTGTTGTTGTAAAAGTAAGACATGTAGGTTGATTGAGTCATCATGTTCCCATTGGAATAGCATCCACTAAGGAAAAACCTTTGTCATATGTTGGTTAAAGTGGCATCTCAAAAACGTCCCTTCAAAATATGACTCCATAGTTGAGTTTTGAAATGGTGGATGTTGTCAAAGGAAATGGAGATGCCATACGCAAAGAGGATGAGACTAGTAGAATGCCAAAGACAAATAGAGTTCCCCATGCATGCTAACATAATAGCATGAGTGAAGTACCATTTCCTATTTAAAAAAATGAAATTCAAGAACAAATGATATGTTCTGATTTTCATCCTTGTATCAATATAATTGCAATCAGAAAGCTTCTAGTAGTACAACGAAAAGAATGTGTTTCATGTTTTCTAGCTAGCTTTAATGTTGAGGAGTGTTTGTCCCAAAGGCAACGTAATCATAAACTAAAAGCCATATATGAAAATAGCATGGTTGCTATCATGCTACGCAAGCCATGGTGGTAGTCAATGTCCATGTTCTCCTTTTTTTTTTCTTAGATAAGGTAACGGATACATGTTATTCTAATTTACAAACGCCTCTTCTGATCAGGTGGAACGATCATAGAAGATGCACTTGCATTTGCTGTCTGTGAATAGCAAGTCTATGAACCTCCACTTCCATGTCAAATTAGTCATGCGGCATATGAACATACATGTATATAATTGCATAACTATTGCTTTATGTGTATAGACATCTGTGCGTGCGTGAATTGTGATTGTTATAAACCTGAATTATGAGAGCAGCTGAGTTTTGCTGACGCATCCATGATCTTCTACTCCTCTCTAACTTCGCCTCCTCCAAAAGTTTCTTTCTATCTCTTTCCTTTGAACTACGACCGCCTAAATCAACTCGTTTCCGATTCGAAGGATCGCCACTGAAGAACATTACTCTCGATGATTAAACCCTAGCCCTAATTCGGAATAAAGCTCCAAATACAAAAACTCCACAGCAACACAAAAACCCTTTGATCGATCGAGTCAACTAAACTGTATTCAGCAGGCAATATTTCTATTCTTCCAGCCCTATTTCGAAAGCAAAAAACCCAAAATGGAGAAGCTCTAACCACAATACAAAGAAACAAACCCTTTTGATTGATTGATTAATTCTGCTATTTTGCAGTTGGCAATCGATACTTGTATTCTTCTAACCCTAGAAAGCAAGAAAACCGAAAATTCAAAAGAAAATGCTTGAATTTGTTCCGAATTGAGACGTGAAACGAGAAAGAAGAATCAGATTGAAAATAGTTTCGAGGGGTTTATATATGTATAGGTTTTGTATGTATATCAGGGAGAAGCTCTCTTTTCGTCGGGAGGAAGAAACCAAAAAGATTTTCCAGAAGGGATGATGTGGAAAAGTCTTCATTTTTCAACTTATCTAACAAAGGCTACTATTCGTATTAAAAGGGTTGTTTGAGTTTGTTTATTTTCAACTAATGTTTTTTTATAAAAGTTTTTATCAAATTATTATAATTTAGAATAATTTAACTTTTTCAAAAATTTCTTATTATTTGTTTGACACTAGTAGAATTTGTTTATTCAAATACTCAAAACTGTTTATTACCGGTGTCACAGCAAAATAAGTCAATAAGTTGTTTTTATAAGCAATCCTAAACACCCTCTAGATAAAAACAAATGCAAAATGCATGTTTTTTATTGAATCGAAACCAGAATAGGAATGAAAATGGTGGGATGACAAAACCTTTTGTTACTCATGTTGTTTTGTGCTAATTTATAAGAGATTTTGCTATTCGTATTAAAAAAACTATGAATTTAAGTAGTACAATATATTTCTTTCCAGTTAAACAATATAGATTTTTGGTAAATGTATTGCACGTCAGTTTATTCAACCTTAGATTTCAACACAAAAATAGAACTCGGCATAAGTATACACCTTGAACTACTACCGTCTCGTAACAAGTAATAATGGTAAAGTACCAGATATCGTTCCCACGGAGACAGCTTTGCAAAGTTCTTCAAAAGTCCAATCTATAAAAACTAATTTCAGATGGCGAAACGAGGGATTTGATTTATCTAAAATTGGAAGGTTTGATTAGCAACTAAGAAAATATCAGTTGTAAAAAGAAGCACAGTGTGCAAAGGTTGATTAAGACACTAATTCCTGTCACAATTATCTAAAATCACGAAATGATTTTATATAACTGTCACAGTATCAACTATCAGGTCAGACGGCCTCCCAAGAGTACACACCGGTCAACATGTTATCGATACGATATCATTAATGTTAGACGTCGTGAATCCGAGCACAACACAGTGTTACCATCCTACACCGTAGGAGTATAACACTTGTCAGATAGTAAAGCTATTTATAGTCTTCTTCTATTACCTCAAATTTTTTTATTTATCTTAACTCTGAAAGTCAATGCATTTTCATACACAAGTTGTCAATTAATTTTAATATAATCTTCAATGAAATATTATTCACCTAAAACAAATAGTAGATTATAATGCTAATAAGACACTTTTGTACTTTCACATCGGCTTTGATCTTAATTTTCCTTTACACCCCAAGCTAAGGCGTTTAGCCCATCATCGATCGGTTTCTTCTGGCGAAGGATGTAAAGAATGAAAAATAAATAACTGATGCGTAAAAGTAAATTGCAAAAATTAAATTGCGAGAAATTAAAATACTGAAATGTAAAGTACTGGAAATTAAATTACAGAAATATAAATAACTTAAAGTAAATTACTGGAAATTAAAATGCAGAAAAAGTAAATTGCAGTAAAAGTAAATGCAGAAATTAAAAGACTGAAAAATAAAGACTGAAATTAAACTACTAAGAGATAAATATTAATAATTAAAATTATTATAAGACATAAAGTAGACACTTGTATACTAAGATGTCACAATTGAAAGCTTGAAAAGAAGGAAGACTTGCACTCCAAGTTACGAAACTTGTAAGACAAGTTTCGTTACTAAAAGCAAAGAGTTACTTGCAAACACTCGGAAACATATTATTTAGTCTACGGAAATTAATCGAGAGCCACAAATGATGAAATCCAATGTAAAGCAACATAAATCGATTAATTGTAACTTGTAACGAAAGTCGGAAAGCATTTATAACTTGAAAGTAAAAACAGAAATGAGATGAAGATTAAATACGAACACTTGAATTAAAACTTGAGAATGTAATCACAAATTCGATTATTGGTTGAAAGCAAGAAAACCGAAAGCAATAAAACAAAAAGCTAGAATATTTAGAGAGTAATTGTTTTAACCCAAAGGTTGTGTGTATCTATATGTATAAAACCAAGCCTTAAGTACCTATTTATAGGGAAATGGGAGCTTGCACAAGGGGGTTATCTAATAAGACAAAAGGGGTCTTCAAAAACGGGTTTTGACCAGGCCCAAGGCATTAAATCCACCAGCTTCAAGGGAGCAGCCCAAGGAAATTCGGCCCAGACAAAAAGTGTAGCTCACTGACTAGTGCTACAGGATTCTGCCAAACATGCTCTTACAGGACTGCTGTAGGACTTGGCCCAAAATTCATCAAAAATCTTCATAAATAGGGAATTAACATTAGATATGATATAATACTAATATATATATATATATGACATAAAAATACTCAATTACGACACTAATGGGCAAATAAAACAAGTAAAAATGGTTAAGAAAATGATGTAATAAGGTTAATAAATTAACACTTATCACATCCTCAAATTTGAATTGTTGTTTGTCCCCAAACAACAGAAAATAACAAATTAAAAGACTCAAATTTCTAATAAACTAAAAAAATGAGCATAAATATTCAATAGCCAAAGTATGCATGTTTTTGGGAAAAAAATTGAATGAAATGTTCTACTCCTGACTTGATGCTTGATATCCATAGCCCTTCATAATCTTAGCTCCCCCAAACTTAAGCCTTTATAGAACTATGTTTCTTTGTTTGTCTTTTGGTCTTAGTGCATATGTTTCATGAACTCTATACTGCTTGGTGCTTTTAGGACCCTCCCCCAAACTTAAGGGAAACAATGTCCTCATTGTGATTGTATCAAGGCTACAAATTTGGCCAAATTGAAATGAAGGCCCAATTGAATCAATATAAATCTTTGGAAATGGTTAGCTAGTTTTAGAAGCTCAATTAAAAACAAAGATGGTTAACCTTTGGGTTATTGTGGCTATGGCATTAATTTCAAACATTTGCATCATAGCTTCATTGTTTATTCTATTTTTGGTGCATAGAAAATCAGTGCCTAAAATCCTAGAGTGAAACAGAAAAGCAACGATGATCAATAACAAGTGTGATTGATTATCTTTAAAATCAAAAAGACTCAAACCTAAAATAATTGAAACAGAGAAGCAAAGATGAGAAGTCACAAGTGTGACTTGATCATTTTGTGAAAATAAAATGACTCAAGACTCCAGAAAATTATTTTTTTGATAAAACTACCCATCCAACTCTTTGTCAAATTGATCCTAGAGTCAGGATGTGGTGCCAAGGATGAGTTTCAAACCAACAAGCAGTCCAACAAAGGACTGCATTACCTTTAAATAGACCAACATAAAACCAAACAATGGCATTGCCATTGTTTTACCATGAAACAGACTTAAAGGAACCAAACAATGGGATTGCCATTGTTTTCTCATGACACAGCCTAGACTGGTCTTAACACATCATAGGGAGGTTAAAATGAGTGCATTAAACAGTGCCCTCCTTCAAAACAGCTACACCAACTGTGTAAACAGCAATAAACAAGAGCAAAACAACAACACATAAAACAGCAACATATCTCAAGTGAGATAAATAAGACAAACAACTAAGAAGCTCAAAACAGTGAACTGTATGAGTCTTTTAACAAGGTTAAAACAACATATTTAAATCCTAAGATAAAAGAAAGTGCCTGCTAGAGCAAACAAAAAAAGCAATCCTTAAAACAACAAAAGCAAATACAAGAATAGCAAATATTAAAATAGCAGACAGCCAAACAAAAGCAACACTTAACTCTTAAAAACAGCAAAGTTAAAACAGCAAAGAAAATGTATGAGCAGGACTGCATCAATCTTAAAACAGCAAAGAACAAAAACAACAATCATAACACAGGCTAGCCTTGGCTAAAACATGCTCATGAAATGCTAAAACAACAAAATAAAATTAAGATACTACCTAAAAACAGCAAAACAAACTAAACATAAAACAACAAACAATAAGACATGAAACAACAAATAGCTAATGAAAACAACCAACCTAAAACAACAAAATAAACACAAAACAGCATTAAACAGCAAAATATGGTCTAAAAACCAAACAGCAACAGCAGAACACACATGCATTAGATTGTTTTTAATCAATAATGACAGACACAACTCTAGGCATTAGAAAACAACATATTCTAACCAAATTATACCTAAAGATCATGCAAACAGCAAACTCTATATACAAAAACAGCAAAACAAGAAATGCTTTTAAAACAGAAAAACAGAAGGTACAATCTACCTAAATCATGTATAAATAAATAGCAAAATACTTGAAAGGGTAAGAAGGTAGAACCTGTCCTACTCAGACTGAGTAGGAGACTTTGAATGCTATAATAGGATTGACTTTGGTGGAGGTGGAAGCTTGATTACACTTTTGGATTTTCCATGCTTCAAGGCAACTCTGAGAATCCTCTCCTTTTGCATCTTGTGCTCTGCCCATTGCACCCTCTCCTTCTTCAAAATGTATACTTCCTTCTTCAACTCATCTACCCTTTTCATCAACTTGTGGTGCTTCTTCAAAACTGTTTGCTTCAAGGCATTGGTGTGGTCCAACATTGCCTTCAATAGATCAGCTTTCGGAGATGCCATGGCAGAAGTGGCTGTTTCTGGTTGTGTATTAGCATTGACCCTTAACAGCCTATCCAAATTATTTTTATCTATGGAGGTCTTCTCCATAGAGATCAAATCAGTAGGTAAGGCCAGAACCTGGGCCTTTTGCATGAGCTTATGGATCAATGAAGGGTAGAGTAGCTTGCCATTGGTCCTTTACACATGCCTTGATGTTGGAGCATATCATCCTTCCAACATCAAATGGCTTTGCCTCTAATATACAGTAAATGATGAGGATTCTTTTTAGGCAAAGATTGGTGTCATGGATAGTAGAGTGGAGGGTATGCCTCATGAAATAGAACCATAGATTGGCTTCAGGCTTCAAATATTGGGTTTTTAACAACGTGGCCCTACCCTTGAAACTCCACACAGCCCCTTCCTTAGCTACCCTGGCCAAAATCTCATCATATTCTTCATCTGAGCAACCAACAGTCAACCTATCTAACTTAGAATGTGAAGGTGGTATGAGCTATAACAAATCATTGATGTCATTGGGT